CCTCGGGAGGCTCCGTGGGGTTGTCAGGGAGGTGAGCGCGGCCTTGCCCGCCGGGGACTCCCACTCCAGCCCCTCTCCTTGGCGTGGGGATGGCCCCATAGCTCTGCAGCGAAACCGCGGGCCTTGGTCTTGGTTTGCACCTCCGGCTCTGCTGCGGTAGAGAGGAAGGTGGAGCTGGCTCCTGAGTGTGACACGTTCTTTTGAGATGTGTTCACATCTGTCCAGATCCCTCCATACACACATCCTGCGTGTTAATTTACAGCCCTCCTCCTCTTGTTCTTTGCAGGCTGACGCAGGTGAGATGGAGTCGCTACAACCCCAGCTTCAAAGAGCCAGAAGTGAACAAGGAATTGTATCAGAAACCTTTGGAGGAACTGTCTGAGGAGGAAAAGGAAAAACTGGAGCTTAGGGCTGTTCAACCCATAAAAGCTGCTCCTCCCTCTCTCTCCAGCTCTGTGTTCAGCGACCCTATGATCAGGTCAGAGAAAGCATCATCTCCTCTCTTCCAGCTAGGTCCCGTGGAGCTGAAACGCCCGGGAGCTGTGCTGGCCTCCTCAGCCTCCACTTGCTGCGCTGCCCGCTGCCTTCTGTTACCACACAATCCCTTTATTCGGGTTAATCTTTTCCCACAAAGCCAGTCCACTGACTGACAGCAATTAGAGATAATTACAGCAGATCTAGCAGCACCCGGACTTAACCATGGCAACAACACAAAGCAGGGGGCTTATTTCTCTGGGTGATAAAATCAGAAGTTAAATCAGATCGCATTTGGTTTTGTGTTTACAGTAAATTCACCAATATGATGATGAAGGGTGGAAATAAAGTGCTGGCCAGAAGCCTCATGGCACAGGTGAGAACTTGCGTTTCTTCTGAGGTTTATGTTCAAACAATACAAAATGGAAAGCTGGGATGTGAAGACTACTGGAATTAGGAATTACCAGAACTCGGGTCAGCCCTGTGGTCCTGACACACTTCCCTCTCCACACACATTACTCTCACCATTATTTATCTGATAGGATGTACATCTTGTACAAGACCCAGCCTCATCCAGCTCACAGACCAGGTGGTGATAGCTTGATGAAGAACATTCACTTAACCTTTTTTTTCCCACTCTTCAGTACCTCTTAGACCTTATGTACTGCAGAAACTCAGAGAATACCCTTAGAAGCAGAATTTCCTTAAGAGATCTGCCTTCCAGCCTTATCATCTGCATAACTTGATAATGAAGTCCCATGAATGTGTCACTTACATGACACAGCTTTTACCCCTGCTGTGACCTACAGAAACTGGTATTAGCTGGTGGTCCCATCTGGTGTGTTCTACCCTTGAAAGCCCTTGCAACAGGGACACGTGTTGCCCAGATGTTCCTGAGAGTAGTTGCTGGTTCCTGGTGACAAAACCACGCAGGCTCTGGGCTCTTGAGTCCAGGATTTGGAGGGGAGGCTGCTTAGTGCACCCAGGCCTGTGTTGCTGTCTTTGCTTTGTCCTGCCCTTCCCTGCCTTCCAGCCCAGTTTTGGCCCTCCTCACCCCTAACTCTATGTCTCATAAGGAGACTGAAGACCTGGAAGAAGGTGAAGTAAAACTTGAATTAGAGAATCTCCAACTGGCCTGTTGCCTATAAGGTTAGAAAACCAGCTGCTCAAGTGAAAATGAGGTGCTTGTAAAAGTGATGTAACTTCATGGAGTGGGATAATTCATCTGCTTTGCATCTCTCTATTCTTGTCTTTGTCCCAAGACTCTAGAGGCCGTTAAGAGGAAGCAGCTGGAGAAGTACCACAAAGCTCCAGAAGAAGAGAAGGAGACAATTGAATGCAACCCTTACATAATTTTCCACCAGGCTCTGAAAAACTGTGAGCCCATCATTGGGCTCAGCAGCATCACAAGAGGAGGCAAAACCTACCAGGTGAAAGGGGGGCCTGGGAGCACATCTGGTTGGGAGAGAATGGGCGAGGGAAGTGGATGTGCTGGTTTCCACCCTTTGGCTCCAGCTTTCCTCTCCTTGGAAAGAGCCACTTTGCAGTCTGGATTAAAACAGCACCTAGAAACTGTGTTCAAGATCAGGATGCCAGCCTGTGAGCATGGCAGCTTCCTATTAGCAGTGTCCTCTGCGTCTCTGACTAGATAAGGTGCAGAGGCCCCAAAGCCCTGGGGCAGGTCAGTGGAATGGAAAAGGTCAGCCAGACAGAGTGCAGTGTTTAAAACACGGGCAGAACCTGTGTCTGCAGGGGCTCTGCCCATCTCAGACCTGGTGCAGGAGTGAGACCTGGAGGCATTTCTCCGTCACTCAGCGAGGGTGAGTGGTCACCACCTCCCATCTCTGTCAGCACAAACCAGCGTGGATCCAGCTTCCAAGTAGGCCAGAAGTCCTTAGAAAGGCCTGCAGTACCCAAAGCTGATCAGAACTTCCATTTTGGTAGCCAGGGCCAGTTTCTGTGGACAGAGGAGGTGGATTGGCACAGAGGAGTGGCTGGGAGCTGGTGTTACTGCAGGCAACAGCATTGCTGCCACCAGAGCTGCAGCACGGTGTAAATGTGCAGCTGTGTGCCTGCTGGGGAAGAGCAGGTTCCTGCCCCCTCCCAGTGTGGTAACTGCTACGGTTCAAACCCCTGCCAGGTCCCAGTCCCTCTGAAGGACAATCGGAAGCGCTTCCTGGCCATGAAGTGGTTAATCACCGAGTGCAGGGAGAACAAGAACCGTCGGACGCTGATGCCCGAGAAGCTCTCCCAGGAGCTGCTCAACGCCTTCAACAACGAAGGGCCCATCATCAAGAAGAAGCATGTGATGCACAAGATGGCCGAGGCCAACCGGGCTTACGCCCACTTCCGCTGGTGGTAGGGGCTCCACACGGGACACGGTGCCGCCGGCCCCCGGCCTGGTGAGCACAGCCCCAGGGCCACCTGCCTGGGAGAAGAGGTGGACGGCCCCTTCCAGACAGCTTCTGAACTAAGCCAGGGACAGCCCACCTAATCCCCACAAAGTTATTTCCTTTGTGCTTGTTTGGATGAGGGAATCTAAAGGGGTTATCGAGCCCTGCACTGTTCCTCTAGTTATTTCACAATCACTCTCCTATGAGGAGAAGCCTTAGATGTTTTCCTTAAAGCAATGCTGTGCAAAATAATCTGCCACTTACCTGTTTCCTGGGGACTTGTCTCTCTGCTCCTGTAATCAGCAATGATTTTGGCTGCACAGCTAGCTAAGAGCAGAGCTGCATTTTTTTTCCCCACACTGTAACCAGCCTTAGCAGGATTGGTGTAAAAGGCCTTTTTTGATTTTTGTTTCTGGTCGTCAGCAACATTGTCTGCACAGATTTGACAGGAATGTTAACAAGAAAAATAAAACTGGTTTTATGAGGAAGGTTTCTTGATTCCAGACCTGTCTCTGTTGGCTCAGATCTCACACTGCTCTTGCCACTGACCCTGGTTGTGTAAAGCCATGCTGACACTCTACACTGGTGGAGACAGTGAGTGTCCAGCTTTAAGGCTTCAGTCAGGAGCACCCTTTAAGCATTGTTCATAGCTCAGCAGCTGCATAGAGAGAAAGCAGGTCATATGTTAGTGGAAAACTTTTTATTAGGAAAAAATCCTTCAATAGACTATTTATTTCCTTTCTCCCTATCTCATTCCCAAAAGAAACATACCATAGCTGAAACTTGCTAAATTCTGAAAAAAACATGACAGTTAATGTATAAAACTTACAAAACCTGCCCTAGCTACATGTGCTCGGAGCCGTGTCCTGCTGCAGGCTGCCCTGTGGCAGATACTGGCTCGTGGCCCATGGGGAGGCTGTGTGCATGCAGGTGCAGCCACTGTGATAGAAGGAGTTTGGGGATAACAGCACTTGGCAGAGCTGTTTGAGAGGCCACAGTGTTTTCTGTGACTTGTCCCAGAGAACCAGGTACAAGCTGAGCTGTGAAAGATTTCCCCTCTGCCTCCTGCAGCTCTGCTCACCTGGGTGAACCCAGACGTTCTTGGTTTAAACTGTGCTTTCCTTAACACCCATATAAAATGCTGGTTTGAGCTAGAAGCCTTCCTTGCCCTTCGCTGGCAGCAGCCCATTATTAGACAAGATCAGTGGGAGGACATGCTGGGTTCAATGTACCCTGCCCTTCCCACCTCTCCAAACCTCCAAAGTCAGGTTAAGCACCAGTTGCAGCCTGACAGTTACATGCCCAGAGGCTCTAGCCAGTACAAATCCTATTTACAGGAAGTGCTAGAAGAACATTAACGTGAAAAGAAATTCAAACTTGGTATGAAGCTTGCTGGTGAAAGTGCTGGCGGCGTCTCTCCAGCTGTGCTGCAGAGAGGTCAATCTGTCACTTCGCTGTAATAATACTTCTGGGCAGCGTCCGTCATCTTCCATTCGGCAGCCCGGAACTCGATGATCTCCAGCAGCAGGAGCTGGGACAGGGAGCTGAGCCCCTCCTGCAGGAGGAAGCCGTCTCGGAGCAGCGAGAAGAGCTCATCCATCCGCTGGGAGTTCATCTTCTCCAGCTGCTCGCCGATGCGATGGAGCTGTAGGACCAAGCAGTCCACCTTCAAAAGGAAGAGAAGACGGCTGAGTACAAAGGAGTGGGGAGCTTGCACATCTCTGTGGAGGTCCCCATCAGTCACTTATGGACCAACTCGTCCAGTTCCCTCTGTTCTGCATTTCCAACAGGTGACAGTTCTGCTTCCCCCAGGCCACTGTGACAGGAGGCAGGAGGAGCTGAATGTCTCTTCTGCCAAAAGCACTGGAAAAGCTTATCCTGAACTCTTAGGATAAGAGACTCTCAGACAAAACTGCCAGAGAAATGCAGCCACAACAGGTGGGAAAATATTAATCTCGTGCATGATGTCCAAGAGATGATGGCAAAGCTGAAGCTGAGGCCAGAGCTAGGACATGCCTCCAAGAACAGAGGGAAGTGGTTGGAACATGTACTAAAGCTCTTAGAAAGTCCAGTGCCTTAAGGGAGGATGTGCAGCCTGGGCCAGGGAGCCACAATGAGCACCTCCATCCCGCTTCCTTCTGCACTGCAAAGCCACCTGACCCTCCGACAGTCTTCTCCCAGCACTTACTGGGGAGGCAGCTCTCCCAGCTCTGCACCAGCACCCTCTGCATTCCCCCCGTGGTGCCTGGCAGGACGACGGGCACCTTCACAGCCCTCTTCTGCACACCCACCTCTTCCTCCTTCTGCAGGCTGTCGGGCTGCGCCAGCCGGAACAGACAGTCGTAAACGGGGTTCACCAGAGCCATCATGGGCATGTTGTTCACCTGCAAGGAGGCAGAAGCCATCATCAGCTTGGGGACAGAAAGGGAGGACTCTGCACTTATTTTAAGTAGTTGTTCCCTTGCTGCTCTTCAGAGGAGAAGGGAGCACAATGTAGTTGTGCTGCTAAATTCCCTGTTGGTGGTATTTATGTAGGAGACCAGATGTTTGAGTCTCCAGGAGCCAGAGAAGCTGAACAAATGAGATAAACCCTATCTATTTTTAAATGTAAGCAGGGAGTCATGGGAAATGCACTTGTTGCAACAGCATTTTTCCTGCCTGCAGCTCTATTTGCATCACTTTTACATCTTTTCCAAGCAGGCATCCACATAAACACTGCAGTGAAGGCTTGCAGAGAAACTCCACCAGTGCATGGGCTCGAAATGATGTGAGCACTCACGGGCATCCCCTGGGACATCACAGCAACTAAACCAGTTCAATCTGGGAGCAGGCAAGTCAGGATTTCAAACACCAAGTACAAAATGAGGAAGACTTTGTGACTGTTCCCAGAGAGAGCTCGGCCTCTCCAAGCCCATTTGCTTGCCTGTAGGTAGCACCAACTCCAGCAACATCCTTGTGCTGGAAACCGGCTCTGGCCGCCCTTGCTGAGCCACGGCCCCGGGGCTCCACCCAGCACCCATCCGACGCTCCTGCCCTGGTGCCCACAGACCCCTGGGCCCCTCTGGCATGCCAGGGCAGCAGCAGCAGCAGCTGGGTGCTCCTGCTCTGGCTGCTCACCCTTAGGTAGTCGAAGATGTTGCAGATGAAGGTGACGTAGCAGATCCACGCCTGGAGCGAGCGGGCGCGCAGCTCCTCCCTGTTCTTGTACTCCTGCTGCAGTCGTTTCAGCAGGCTCCTCCGGAACACGCTCTGGCCAGCTTGTTTGCTCTCTGCCTACGAGCCCACAAAAACAGGATGGAGGGATGAAATGGGAGTGCAAGAGGGGCAGGGGGATGCTGCTACTTGGGGGATGCCGGACCACCCTCCCATGATTGCCCAGAGAGGTGGGAAAGCTGCAACTACCAGGCTGTGCTCGCCAGCTGCTCGGCTGGATGCTGCTGCTGTGCGGGGCGAGTGGCAGAAGAGGAAAGCTGCCTGGGGGCCAGAGCACAGGGCTGGAGCAAAGCCTCTCCTGGCCCAGCCAAGGGCCAGCCCACACGGCTGAAGCGTTCCGCACTCCGGACACGAGGAGCTCTCACCTGGATGATGGTGTAGCAGATGCGCCCTGCCTCCTTGCTGAACACACAGTCCTTGAGGGACTGGTCCACTATAATGTTGGCTACTTTCTCCAAGTCCACGTTGCTGGGGTCTGCAGAGAGGAGAAACACTGTCAGGATCCAATGCCCTTTGTGCCCTGCTTGCTCTGGGGTACCTGGAAAGCATCTGAGGCTGGCACAGGACCTGGTACAACCATGTTATATGGTGCAAAACCTCACGCTAACTCCCACATCAGGGGCACAGCCACTCTTGCACACCAGGTGCTTTGGAGATACCATCTCCAGTGATGCACGGTCCTCCAAGGCTGGAGACACAGCCATCACGAGGGGGAAGAGATGGAGGAAAGCAGACAACATTGGAAGTGAGAAGCTGATCTGAATCTGAAATACCAGCCCAGCTACAAAGCTGGATTAGCAGGAGCCAGATGTGCCAACTCCTTACGGGCTAGAGCCCTGGTGAGCAGGAGACCCTGGGGACTGGGAGGATGAGAGAGCCCCAGAGTGGGGAGGGGCAGAGAACAGGGGCTATACACTACAGAGGAGTGACAGGCCAGGTCAGGGGAGATGCTGGGTTAGAGCAGGAGAGTAGGGTACCCCAAAACCAGAGAAAAGCCCAACAATGAGAACCCAGAGCTCAGTTTGAAGAGCTGCACATTGGGGAGAAGGTGAGAGGGGGCAAGAAGAGGCAAGGAGCAAAGATATTCCCAGAGAAGATTCGCCAATGGGAGCTGGTCAGGGATGAACAGCATTTCTAAAACAGCTTTAATACATTAGCAATTGGTGTTCCTTAATGGGGTCCAAGTATCCAGCTTCATCTGCCAGCCAAGCTGCACACAGCAGAGGAGCTAGTAAAGGGCCTGCTGACCTTTGAGGGCTGTTTTCAGCAGCTTCTGAGTCTCGGTGTCAAATGACTGTATTTTATACTCTTCTTTGCCTGTTTCTCCCATGACTGGCTTCCTCCAAGGGCTAGAGTCAAGGCGACGGTTGGGCTAGTGACAGTCCCTGGGGAAAGAGCACAGAGAGCACAGTTGGACAGAGAGGCAGACCTTCACCCAGCCATCTGGCAAACCGCATCTAGTGCTGCGGCCCAGGCTGTTGTCCTGACAGTCCCCCACCCCAAGGAAACTCCTCTGTTATCAGGGCACCCAGCTCTGGCCCTAAATGGGAGCAAAGCCTCACTCCCACATCTTTATACACCTTCTTTCCTACCAGTCTATGACAGGACTTCATCTTCAGAGCCTTTACATTTTTCTGATATGAGAAATGCATTGATCTACAGGTTCAAAGAAGTCAGTGCACCAAGGCAGCCCCAAAATACACCGATCTCCCCCCAGAAGCCTTCCCTGTGGCTGTGTCACAGGGAAGCCCATGCAGGAGCACCCCATGGAGCCGCACCCTTGTGCCTTTGAAACACCAATTCAGCAGGTTTCACACGAAAGCCTGGGAAGAGTGAAAGCCAGCACCCAATCCCCCAATGCAAATACACCAGAGTGAACAGAGCACCTCTCCTGAGCCAGAGCCAGAGCCAGGCCCCTCAGCTCCCAGCAAGACACAGCAGGCTCTGCAGCCAAATCCCCAACAGCAACAGTTCCTGTCCCACCCCCCTGCAGTGGAGCAGTCTCTAGATTAATTTTCTGCTGCTTCATAATACAGCAAAGACAGCAAGAGGATACACGCAGCACAGAGGGGAAGGTCCTTCTCTGCCACACACACGAGATGAGCTGCTGGATGCAAAATGCCGTGCTGGCCAGACTCACAGCAAACAGGAGAAGGCAATCGGCCAAATGAGTTTTGCCAGCTCGTCAGAATTCCTGGGCTGTTTGTTACTCACCCCTCTCTGCAGACAGGTCCCTACCCAGATGGAAGCTGAAGAGCTCAACGCCCTTTAGAGGCGCGGGCCATGTATCGCAGGCAGCCCGACCCCTCGGACACACCACTTGTACTCGGAGCAGGGAGCAGAGCTCGCTGGTGGGTAGGGGCCCGTCTCCGCCCTCCCCGTGAGGCCCAGGGCAGAGCCTGTCCCACAGGATGACAACCTGCCCACGCTGCTCTCGCAGCCAGCGCTCTCACCTGCGCGGC